AAAAACATTTCCTAAATAATGATAAAATGATTCAAATACCACCAATTAACTCAGAAAATCATCCAAAACATATTTACATAAGCAAAAGAATTGACACACAAAATATATTAGATCATTTAGATAATTTATGTGAATTTTCTCAATAAAAAAATAAATTTAAATTATTATTTTTATAAATCATGAAATTCAGAAAAATAAAATTATACAAATTTCGTTCTTGTGAGAAAACTGAATCGGTAATCTATATGAAAAAATAGCCAGTTTGATTTAAATTATGACAGTTCGAGAACTAGCGCTCCAAAAGGGCCATTAGGGTCAGATTTAGGGTTGAACCCGAACCCAACCCATGCAGATTAGGTCATAATTTATAATTATAAAATTAGAGATTGGACCGTTGAGAATATCCCTACCCGGGTATTATTAAATTATCCGGGTTATCCGGGTAAATTATTATGTATTTTGGATAATCATATAGCAACAATTTCTGCCCGGGTCCAATCCCTACATAAAATTTTTACATAAAATTACGTAATGCTACAAGAATTTTTAATTCTTTTTATATAAGTAAACTTTCAGAAAAAAGTCTACATCGTCTACTTTGAAGACATTGAAACAGTTGTATTAGTATTGGTTGTTATTATAGAAGTAAAATTGTAACATGAATTATTTTTTAGCAGGTTCTCACAAAGATCACAACCAATTATCTTATGTATGCTATTTTGTTTATTCCTATTTAGAAATAATTTTCTTTTATTAAAACTGTAATAAGAATTATATTTTTTTATCAGGTTTTTACAAAAACCACAATCATTATCTAATCTTGTGTATACTCTTTTTTATACTTTATTTTTTCATATTTGGCACTTAGTAAAATTAATACAAATTCTTTTATTATAAAGTAAAAACTATAATATGAATTCTTTTTTAGCAGGTTCTTTTAAAGATCACAATCCATAACCTTCAGAAAACTTTCCATTTACTGTATACTCTTTCTAATGAGATCTGTTCGAGAAAAGTTCTCGCATTTTTAAAATAATATGCAGTTATGTATGTATACAGTCAGATCTCTTTATAGTCACCTCCTATATAAGAACATTTTCTTTATAAGCATATTTTTTAAAAAACAAACTATTATTAAATATAATAAATTTGACCTCTATAACTGTCACACTTTTTTACAATCACACATTTTTGTATCCCAAGTGTGTGATTCTAGAGAGTTTTGACTATATATAATAAGCTGGAAAAATTAAGTAATAGACTTTTCTATACAAACTTCAGAACAACAAATGTTAAAGAACCATTGATATGCAAAACACATAGCCATAACTAAAATCCTATTTGAAAAACCCAGTATAAATAGGAATAAACAATTTATTTTTTTGTCTTTCTTTCAATTTTTATAAACACAATATGAATTTGTCCACTGCTAATAACCTTTAAATTATAAACTTATACCTGTATAAGAACAAATTTTATAGCAAATTTTTTTTTATAAACCTTCAAACTGAACAAACAAAGGTATCTATAACACTATGAACAGAAAAGGCACCTTCAGTCTTGATATACAAGAATCTAAGTGATCAATTTCATGCCCAAAACTTATAAGCAAAAAAAAAAACTTACAAAAGTATTAATATATATATATATATATATACAAAGTTTACTAGGAAATGTCTAAACAAAAACCAAAGCATATGAAACCCTAATTAACAGTAACTTGATGACAGCATGGCCAAAAAAATGGTAAAAGCTATAAATTGACCCAAAAATCTATGCAAACAAAGCCCCAGTATACTTATTAAAAAATAAGAGGTCACACTATAAGTATGTGTTCTAGAAAAGACCTTCTGGATAAAAAAGTTACCAACTTATTCAGGCTCCTTAATAATGAACAAGCCACAGTTGTACTGAAAATTATCAATACAACATTTGACTACAATATTAGCAATGAACAAATACTTCAGATACTAGAATTTATATTGAGCATACTGTAATTGGTTATAACAAATAATGAGAACAAAGAAGAAGAGGCTAAATATAAAACTTATCCAGACAATACCAAAAATTTTAAGTATGATAAAAATGCCAATATGGATACTAGTAGCAGCAATATAGTTAAACTAGATAATTACAATAAAAAAATTACTAAAGATGAAAATAGATTTAACAAGAATAATGTGGATACTAAAAAAGAAATTGAAGCTGAAAAAGATGAATACAAGGTACTTACCTATTATCAAATATCAGCAAAGATAGGCCATGTAGATGTGATAATAAAATCTTATTATGAAAATAGCAAAGAAGAATTGTTTAAAATCATTACTAATAATAAAAATAACAGATCTTATATACCAGAATTCAAGGACCCAGTTCTAGATATAGTTAAAAGTTACCTTAAAAAAAAAACCTTGAACAAAAAATATAAAGAAAGTGAATATAAAGCATTCTTTTACTAAAAAAAAGCAGAGATAAATAATACTGAACTTGGATATAAAAATGGAATAGTAAAAAATAATGATTATCTAAACTGGTTAGAAGATTTTATATATGAGGGTGAGTCAATAGAAATCAAGCAAATTTTTTATAATAAAAATTTTTTATAACTTTAAGCAAGAATAACTTAACAAAAATATAACCAAATTTAATAAAATTTTTTTTAAATAATTTTTATAAACTTGTAGAATTAGTTAAAAAAAAATTTATTAAATTTGATCAAGTTTTTGTTAAGTTATTCTTGTTTAAAGTTTAAAAAAAATTATTAAAAAATATTTGCTTGATTTCTATTGACTCAACCCCATATAATGATGAGAATAAAACTAACAACTTTAAACAATATTATTAAAACAAAAGCAAATTTGAAATGGATAAAAGTAAAGAATCTGATCATAATCAAGAAACTATTATAATAGATTGGATCAATGAAATGAATACAATTTGGCATTATTGCGAAAGAAAAAGTAAAGATAGAAAAGATATTAAGGTGGATTATTACTTGAAGCCCAATACTTACCAAAAATCTGATAGAATAAAATATATTGATGAAATGAATAATTATAAATCTTATAATAAAAAGGTATTGGAATCAAAGTAAATAAGTATAAAGTATTTATATACTATTAACAATTATCAGATATAGATAATAGTAATAAAATATACAATTTCAAACATTGTAACCAAAACAAAATCAGAATTGAAATAAAAAAATATAAGGCATTCACATATTATTAAAAGTCTATAACTATAAATAACAACGATAAAGATTCTAGTAATAATAAAGCTAACAAAAATGATACAGATAGCAGTATCAAAATAAATACTAGTGAAGCCAAGAATAATAAGATAATTACTTAAAAAAAAATAGAGCCAATGATTATAATAAAGATGATTATAATAGTAACAAAGATTGTATAAAAATTGAAGAAAACAGAATACTAGAATTAGAAAAAAAGCAAAAAGATTCATTAGTAAAGCAAAAACCTGTTAAAAAGAAGTAATATCAAAATATAGATGACTACTATAACCAACAAATCTCAGGAAAAAACATTCAAATCTTGGAATAAGAGAATCAAAAAGTTCAAAAGTGGCTTCAAAATAAGCAAAAAAAGTAAATCTGAAGCTACAAAGAAAAAACATAAAGGATTAGCCAAAAAAATAAAGCAAGCAATTGAGTTTTCAATAGAAAAAAATCTAAGCCTGTGATATTTTTGAAGATATTTACTACAGCCCGATTAAACATCTCAATAGAACCCTACTAGAATATGACTATTGAAAGTCAAAAGTAAATAAAGAAAATATGAAGTGCAAAGTTGGTATAAAAAAAAAGAATTTTAACTGTGATACAAAATACTGAAATTACCCAAAGCACATGTAAGAGATATTATTAAAATTACTAAAAAAAACCCATGTATAAAATAGAATCAGGATACAAAAAAAAAGTATTATAGTTAGAATGGATGAGCGAAAGTTTATAAAGTGCAGTAAATATGAGGGTGAGTCAATAGAAACGCACCAAATTTTTTCTAAGTAAATTTTTTTAAAACTTTGAACAAAAATAACTTAACAA